ATTAGGAATGTCCTGCTAACAATGTTTTTAGATGTTTACAACCTTAATGTGTTTTAACGGTATGTGTGCATAAGTTAATCAAAATCTAATTTGGTCAAACTTTAGTGAGCGACTATTTTACTGAGTGCAAAACAACTCTGAGAGTTTTGCCTATAGTCAGCAGGTTGTGTTGTGATATCTCTGAATAAAGTAGTTTGAAATGCCATCAGAACCACAATCTTGTTGCAAATATTTTTGGAAGTTTCCATTTTATTGTAAAACACATAATTTGTTTCTCTTGTTCATGTTTGTATTCATTTCTTTTGAGGGTACAAGCTACCCCGTCATTCATTCTTTCAAATCCCCACGAACATATCTAGAATCCAGCGTTTTCTACGACTTTAGTTGTTTCGTAATTTTGACAGTGTTGCTATTATTTGAAGATGTAGTTTTCAGAAGAAAAATAGACACCTATAACACATTGTCTTTAGATTGACTCACCAATATCGAGCAACGCATAAAGCTTTGTGAGTGTGTTCTGTGAAAGCTAAATCTCGAGAAAAAATATGATTTTGTTTGTTAACTATAGTTACCTTCTAAGCTATAACAAATAAAAAATGGAGGTCTGCCAAAGTATCTCTTAACATTTGATCAAAGGGCGAGAGGGACTGCAGTGCAACTGGTGTATTGGTAAGAATGGAGGAGCGTATAACCTTTATGCATTGTGGGAAGGATTTTTTTAGGGTGTGAAATGTAAGATTGGAAATAAATTTATAGCCAAAGGTTCTGTTTGGGAAGCATATGAACAATTAATCATAGATTCTTCCTGTCATTATCTTTTGTTTTTAACATTTTGTGCCTTGGCATTTTTAATTAATTGTGATCAAGATTTTTCTGTAAATTGACCATGTTGATCGAACCGATTCTTTGACGCTAGAAACTTATTTTTATGCGTAAAACAGCTCTGTTCTTCTATATTGATCAAATAAAGATTGATACTGAATCCTCTGAATTATATATGATCTCGTTTGAATTATGTTATTTTTTGATAAAAGTAAGAGTTTAATCTGGAATGAAGTCGAGATCGGAGAAGCATATGCGCACTGTTTTTTACCGTTTCCACTTACGAGAACTGTGTTCGTTATTGATCAACTGTTATGGTTTTGCTTTAGGGATCTCACTGCATTATTGAAATCAAGAGACGTGCCTGTATTTTTGATATCAGGTGGCTTTCACTCGATCGTCGACCATGTGGCAAAAGAATTGGGGATACCATTTAACCGGGTGTTTGCCAACAGGCTTTTGCATACTGATCAAGGTAGGTTCAGAACATTTGTCAAAATTATCATCATATAGCTATATCAAGGCTCTATCTATGCTATTCATGCTAAAATGATAGCGGGCTCTCTAGTTTGCATCTAACTTTTAAATATATTCATCATTGACGTCAGAAAAATCTTATGCAATTTTCGACTGCTAAATCATTTTTGACTCAAGACACCAATTTCCTAAGGCTCGGTTGAGTCTTTTCTCCATTTAAAACGATAAGTTCTAACGATATAGAGAGATAATATCAGCTGAATTTGCGATTAATATCAGTTGAATTTGGTGATTTGCATGTTGTTGTCGTTTTGAACACACTGTCTATACTTAAGCTGCTTGCTACCAGCGTTGAGAAACGTTGCTAGTACCGTACATTTAAATCCTGTGAAGGCATCGTCATGTAGGCTAACTGCCTTGAGCAAGTTGTATAAGTTAAATTTGTTGTAGATTTAAAGATTAACAAATCGGATTTTCATCTTCTTTTCGTTTGAAGTTTGCTGTAGTTTTCTGCAAGATTTTGGATTTTAGGTTGACTCTCTGTCATCTCCAAAGTAATGATAATTTACCAGTTAAGTTGAATGGCTATGTCCGAGAAATTCTGTATCAAACACTTAAGGAATCACTTTACTTCAGTTTTAAAACATCCTCCTACTCTTTAGTGCTTTCTTCGCGAGTTAGCTACTTTATTTCTATATATCTCATCGCTATATTTTCTAGCTTTTAGTTTCCTTAGCAATAACCGTGTCATACTTTCAACACTTTGATTTATCTTTGAATCGCAGGTTCTACTGTATTTTCTCTCTCAAGCTTCTACCATATTTGCGGAAAGCTCGTTTCAATCCATTATAATAAGCATTTCATAAATGCAATATCACTTATCTTTTAACTTTGTTTTTGAAAACTTATTCTCTCCAAACGTATATTCAGAATGTTAACTACCTACCTGTCGCTCCACCAATCGCTTATACGACCAGCTTGGTTCCTCCCTGCGTCTTTTCTGACTCTCTGGCAACACGAGAACTAACTATGTTGACGATTTGCTTTAAATGGACTGAGGTGTCAATCAAAAACACACGCAGCTGTGTCCGCAATTTCACTCCAACAAACACAATATCAAACAGAAATGAAATTTGTTCATTAAAAATGGATGGTTAGTCTACTCAGGATTTTTCCACGAGGTGCCAGAATTACACCATCATGAAATTATTTACGTTTCTTGATTCTAGTTGGAGCTTATTGGCATTGGTCCTGTTTTGGTAAAAAGAAAATTGCACGCTTATGATGAACTTTTTGATTTATTTTTTCATATGTTTTCTTGATTGTAAGCTTTGAGTTTTTAACTTTGCCTTTGCAGTAAAGAAAACTTACAATGGTGTCTTTACAAAAAACAAGAAGATTTCCCGATTGTCTAATTTTGGTTTCCTCAAATGTAAAGAATTAATCAATAATATAACCGATAAATTTTTGGCATGGTTCTTGTCTCTTCTTTTGTATAAGTTGTATTATCCCCCCTATTGTCATTTTTCATAAGTTTATATAGCACTGTGGTCTGTGAAGATATTTAAGGTTTGTTTGATTTACTACTTAGACATAAACAGCAGTCTTGAGATAAATAGGTTCTTTTAACAGCACAGTATTTCGTGACAATATCATGCAGTACCATCTTGACAACTGCCCAAAAATTGCTGTGTGTTTTATAATTCGATTTCGTTCTACGTTTGAGTTGGGGAGGGGTTGGGGGATGGGTTGGGGGATGGGATCCTGGCTTGGGTTGGGAGCGGTACACGGTTTTTGAATAGGATATGGATGATAATCAGGTTATACATCTTTAGGTGTGTTTATTGCGTACCAAAATGATGTGTTTAATGTCTACGTAGGTGATTACATCGGATTCGATAAAGATGAACCCACATCTGCAAGTCACGGAAAAGCGAAAGTGGTAGAGCATTTGAAGTTCAAATATCAGTACAAACAGTAAGTTACTTATATTCAGAGTAGAGTCACGTCGCCCCTTATGGAACGATTTCGGTAAAAATTGTTTTCCTCAGCTTTTAGAACTTCCAAATAAAGTCAACGCACTACAGACACGTCATTTTTTGTATAATCTACATGCTTGTGTAAAGACAGTCTCATCAGCTTTTCTCTCTTTCTACACAGGCAACATTACTACAGGCCATTTTTCTTCGTAAAAAACCAGGGCATCGCCCCTTACGGAACGACTCAAATTTAAGCATGCGGGAAAGCGCACAACGGAGGAAAACCGGGAATTATTATCTGCCTTCTTTCCTTCTACCTTTATCATTCGTCAATATCAAATCAGACTTTCGTTGAGCCATTTGTTTTCAAATTCAGGGTAAAGAAAGAACAAAGTTATCCCCAAGTTTGGTTTTCTTACTTGAATGAGACTTTATCACATGTCACACGTTCAGCCATTCATAAATTGTCGAGCATCACAACAGACACAACAGGAAGCCTGCCGTTCCATCGAAGAAGCCACTAGGCCAATGAAAGCGCTTCCGATAAAAAACCCTCGTGAATGAAAATTTTGCAAGCTATTGTCTGGGTTTCAACGAATATTCGTTTTTGAGAGACAAAGAACCACGTTGTGGGGGTTTGTTTTGTTTTAGCTAAAAAACCTACCGAGGAAAAAAAAAGAAGAGTCGAATATGAACAAAATGAAACAATGATGATTAGCAAAAAGTACAAGTAATGTCGCTAGCAAAACGATTTCGCGCGTTTTTTGAAGATAAACAAGTATGGGAGTCTTCTGCAATTTTCAATACTTTAATAAAGGAATGAATCAATTTGCAACACTTTTTTTAGTAACACAGGACTCAGAAGGTATTCACTGATCTTGCATTAAAATTGTTGTTCTTTTTTGAAGACTAAAAGATTCCTTCGACTTGCACAAGTGTTTCTCGATATGAAAGTAACGACCAGCTTGATGTAAAATTCAAAAGAAGGGTGTGATTGGCAAATTCTACGAAAGTGTTTGTCCTTCCTCCGAACACAATCATAGGACTTTAAAGGCTTTCTCTAAAACAGTAAACAAAACAAATTAGTGTTTGGGCGTGTCAATTTGGAAATTTTATGAATAGTCTAGAAAAGTATATGCTATAAAATGTCTATAAAACCACACAGCCATGAAAAAGTGTTGGTGAATCTAATTTCGAATTCTGTTACCATTTAAAATTGTATAGTTGAAAATGACAAATGCCTCAAAGATCACAAGCTTGCTTCCGAAGAAGGGGCTGAACTAAGTAATTGCCAGCTGCACTGCCTGACGCTGTTCAGAGAAAAGTAGTTCTATTTGAATATGATAAACCTGACGCCAGGAATAACATGTCATTACTATTACTTATCATCTTATTGATGATTTTCAGGGCCATGATATTTTTAAGCTTCAGTAAATAGCATGTCCCTTTCTACGGCTTTTCAGCTGTTGTTTGGAAAAGCCTCTTTAAATGCATTTATATTTTCTAATGTTATCGAGAACGCTGTTGATTCAAGACATCCAATCGGATAAAGCACTGTTCTAATAAAACGCCTTTATCGCTAAAATTGAGCTTCAGTTATGCACTTTCACTACAACCATTAATGATTGGCAGGCGTTGACAGCCATATAATGAGTGCTCTAACGTCATTTGACAAATATGCCCATTATGAAAGAAATATAGAGCAAGAGGAAAACTAAGATGCAGGAAATTGGTTTTTGCAATCTTTACATAATAACTACTGTTTTTTTAAAGGAAGGCGGATGGTTTTCCTATTATTGCAACAGCTCCGGCAATACCTTATCTTCCTCATACACAGTTTGTTCTCACTTTATCTCTTTGCATACCGGACTTGGTTTCACTCTTACGCTTATATTTAAAAAAAACTCCAAAATGTTTATATTTTCTTTCGTCTAAGATATGCTGTTGAATCCCGTTAAGTCATACCCCGGATAAGTTGATTTTTCATTCCGCTACCATTTTTTCCTACCTTGTTCGAGTAAGAAGTCCTAGCCCGGATAAACTGGACATTTGCTAAGTCAGGCCCTTTCCTCACACCGACGAGACTCAACTGAAATGCTTCAAATTTAAAGTACGGTACCTTGACTCGTGCTAAAAAGATGAGAGGGACACCAATAGATAGTTGGTGGGATCCTCATTAGAGGGCTTTTATGCCGTGTTGTGGAAAAGTAAGGCAGAATTTGTGTCAGTGCGGTAGGAAGGTACCATAGGAAGGTGTACCTAGCCAGATTGGTGCGATGTCATCACTGAGTCTGTTTATTGCTTTTATGTTGTAGCTCTGATAAAGAGTTAACTAGTTTTTTTTCAAGAATTGCTCAAAGTAGCTTTCAGTAAATAAGTTGTACAGAAGATTGAATCTGACTGTAAATCGAAGGTCGTAAAAGAAAACATTGCTTTCGGGGCTATGAGGGCACATGCTAGTCTGAATTAAATGATTAGTGATCCAGGATGGATTGCAATTGTGAAACTTTTAAAATCTTAGCTTATGTAACAAAAATATAGCTACTAAAAGCATTTATGAATCTTAAAAACAGCAAATGTATCTAAACTGATAATTATAAATTAGAAATGAATTATTAAATAACGGAAATCACGGTATAAGATACGTTTTCTATGAAATTTTCAACCACTGTTTGAACATGCATTTGAACCAGCGGAAAACGCAAATATGTAGCTAATGAGAATCTGAAATTCTCGTTAACAATATCACATGTGTTAGCAATAACGAACAAATTTTAATCACTTCCCAAATAATAATTATCATAAGACTAAGAAATCGCTGGTTTATGTCTTATTCTTGAAATTGCAAGCCATATTCTTGAAATAAAACCATAACCAATCTTCTGTTTGCGATTCAGCCGTCAAATAGTGAATGGATAGTCTATTCTGTTTCTCGGATATTTGTCGAGGCTTTAGGGTGATCTCTTCAAAATTTTTGCAGCTGTTTCCTTGTCACTAGGTAATCGTTAAAAGATTCAAAGCAAGCATCCTATTTTTGTTACCTTTATCAGTTATGTTTCAAAACAGTTTAATTTATCAATAATAAGGTACCATTCTTTTCAAGGTACTTTTTTGAGATTTCTTTTTTCGAAGTTTATGTTTATCATACTTTAGCTTGTGAGGCAAATAAGGGACAGTAGGAAAAGAATTGTCAAGTAAAGGAGGATAAGAATTACTATTTGCTGTCTGCAAAAAAGAAAGGGTTTAATTATCCAAATTACATGCATAATCTATTACTTGTTTGATAAAAGCCCTGTTGGATGTTGGATGTAGAAAAATACAACACCATTATAAGGTTGTGATGTTGGCTCCCTTTAAGGAAATAAACAACCTCAAAAGCACAAAACGATGTAGTAAAAAACAAAAATTCACAGCTATTGAAGAAAATGTCAAATTCGTGTCTTGTTTTTTCAAGAATACAATAATAGCACAAGAGGAAATTTTGTTACCTCGTCAAAAAGGTAACCTAATTTCCTACTAGGTAACCTAATTTCCTACTAAAGCAGTACATTAAGATTTTATCAACGACCGTGAGGAAAGCCAGTGAAAACAAAAAAAGGTAACACCCTAACCTTGTGTTGTTTTTGTTGTTTTTCTGAAGAATTAAGAGTATTGTCCGGAAAAAAAGACTTTTCTGGACCAAAACCAGATAATTTTTGTTGAGGCTTAATGTTCTTACTTTTTATATAATTATTGATTCGAGTGTTTTTTATGTTAATCTTAAGTGAACAATAACTTTTCTACATTTACATGCTTTAAATTGCGTCTAAAACCACCAAATTAATTTTTTTTGTGACATTTTTAGTAGATGGTTGATTTGCGATAAAATCCTGTCCTGTCCTGTTCTGTCCTGTCCTGTCCTGTCCTGTCCTGTCCTGTCCTGTCCTGTCCTGTCCTGTCCTGTCCTGTCTTGTACTGTCCTGTCCTGTTCTGTTCTGCTCTGTTCTGTTCTGTTTTGTTATGTTCTGTTCTTTTCTGTTCTTTTCTCTCCTGTCCTGTTCTGTCCTGTCCTGTCTTGTCCTGTCTTGTACTGTCCTGTCCTGTTCTTTTCTGTCCTGTCCTGTCCTGTCCTGTCCTGTCCTGTCCTGTCCTGTCCTGTCCTGTCCTGTCCTGTCCTGTCCTGTCCTGTCCTGTCCTGTCCTGTCCTGTCCTGTCCTTTCCTGTCCTGTCCTGTCCTGTCCTGTCCTGTCCTGTCCTGTCCTGTCCTGTCCTGTCCTGTCCTGTCCTGTCCTGTCCTGTCCTGTCCTGTCCTGTCCTGTCCTGTCCTGTCCTGTCCTGTCCTGTTCTGTTCTGTTCTGTTAATTTTCCATCTGATGCTGAGTTTGTACTTACGTTGTTCCCCTTTTTTCGACAAATCGAGCCTCGATGTTCTTTTTAAGTGCTTTCTTATAAAATTAGAGTGTAATGGCTTTGTAGGCGATGATGCCAAAATTATTATTATGCTTCCTCACTGGAAAAAATAATTATTCGGAGTAAAAAGTATGACATAAAAGCAAGTGGATACCTGGCAGTGGTTTTTTAAATAGGGGAATACCTTAGTACCGCTTTCAGTCATGATAGTATACAAATTTTATTGGATTATGTTGGTGAAGGGATATATGCGGAACGTAGTACCAACAATTGTTTGTGCAAAGTTGATTTATATTCTACATCGTGGGTTCGAATCAAGGTTTGTCGAATCCTTTGATTTTGACCCAGTGGCATCGCTTGGAAGTTTAAAGGCAGAAAAAGAAAACTACCACCCTGCCTTTTGCTTTTGACCCAGTACATCTGCTATCTCTTTCGAGTACTACCTTTGGCTATGCGACACGAGACTTACCTTTATGTCCATTACATTATTTACATTTTGATACATAATGCGCAGTGGATTATTGGTATGGCTATAATTTAGTCAACAAGATATAATGTCATATATACATCCAATGAAGTTTTGCAATTTTTGTCATTTTATGTTTTGTAAAGACAATCTTTTTACTTTTCATAAGATTTAAAGCAATCAAGATCCATTTCATCTGATAACATTTATTCTAAGTAGAAAGTTTCCTATTTTCTGTTATAGAAAGTAGGGTTATAAGATGTTGTCATTCGTATGACATGGTACGAATGATTATTGTGTGGTATAACATAGTTGCCAGATTAAAGGCATTGTGTCATGGTTAATTTGTTATGGTGTCCTCTATAAGGATCCATTTGCTTTCGATATGACCACTATAATTTCATATGACATAAGCAGTCATTGTTTACACCTGGGCCGCTGACAAAACCTGTTTCAAAGTCAGCTGATCAGATTCGAAAATAACGACTTGACGTATTTGGGTATACCCTTCCTTTATTGTTGACTCATTGTCTTTTAACTGCTCACTGGAACTTGCAGTATAGAATAGGAATCTTACATTTTTTCTCTAAAGTATAATGAAATTCATTAAATGCTGTATTTGTCGAAATGCTTCGCAACCGAGAGTATTTGTCAAACAAATTTTTTTTATATTGTCAGTTAAAATGAAATGTAAATAAACTGACAACAACTTTTATTTGTACCATGTGCAGTGGAAAAATATATGAAGTCATCGTGTCCCGACTGCGCATGATACTTGTGTTACAAAAAGTATCCATCCTAGTGGAAAACAGAAGCTCGTTTGAATCTCAAACATCATGCTTGTTTTTCTAGGCTTGTAATGATCGGAGATGGACTGACAGATTTTGAAGCCTTTCCACCTGCCGACCTATTCATTGGATTCGGTGGCAATATGGTTCGTCAAAGCGTCCTAGAAAAGGCTCCCTGGTTTGTTTATGATTTCCAGGAACTCATCGATACGCTGAAGGATGAAGGGATTGATTCATCAAAAGAAAGCAACTAGAATTTTTCATATAAACAATTTTTCGTATAAAAAAAGTCGTTTCAAGGGACCTCGGTAAATTTAGATTTTAAAACTGCCGACATAGTAAACTTGTTGATGGGTAGTAAAATTAATATATTAACTTTAGATTTAGTTTGAATATTATTTAATGAGATTTAATTTAAATTTAACTTGATATCAACTTTTTTTAAAAAGGTCTGATTGAAATGACAAAGTTTTTCATAACTGAAATAAAAGCTTTTTCTGTTAACTCTACAACAGCTCTTACAACATTGAGTTTTCGTTTATATCACGATTTGATGGAATAACTGGGGAATAAATAATCCTGGGTTGTTTCCCATTCGTACTCGTAAGCTAACGCCTTTACTATAGGGTTAGGAATATAACATTTTGGCCTTCTCCATGTCCGCACTTTCATTCTGAAATCTGAGAGGCAGCGACTTCTTCGTACTGTGCCTTGGACAAATGTTTCTTTCTGACACTAGTTTAGCCCTAGCAGTTCATCCTAGTTTTTCTGACCCTAGAATTTTATCCTCGTTTATACAATTCCCGTATTTCTTATTGTTTTTGGACTTAACACATTTAATGTTCTTTTTTAAATCCTGTCAGTCTGACAGATGGGTAAAAATAAAAGATACGAAAAGCCACCGGTTTATTTGCACACCCTACGGAGGAGAATTTATAACGAGGCTGCTTTAATTTGAGCATAGAAACAACAAAAATGGCGCTCCCAACATTACAACCGTTTTGGATGAAAAACTATAAAAATACTACTGAAGCGCTGATGGTGAAGAGAAACCAAGACCAATCAGAATTCAGAGAAAAATGGGACAAAAATTCTCAGTTTTTTAAAAAGTCAGAGGTTGAAACAGCCAAGCAAACTGGATGGACGTCGAATCAGTCTTTTCAAAGGAGGTTTGTGGTTTTGTTTCTCTATTGTATCTTTATGTATCATGCTCAAAAATCTCATCTTTGCAAACTGAATTTGTGCATCATCTGAAAAACGTCTTTATAGAGACATAAATTGTTATCGGACATTGTTTGTAACATTTTGAAAGAAACCAAGTCCCGTGGAGTGAACACAAACAATCAACTTCACAGGTCTCCCATGATAACCATAATAGGTAAACACAATATGATAACCTAAATAAACTTGAACATGAATGTTAGGGTATTAATGGGTGATGCAGGACGCTGGACCATAAATTCTTCAATAAATCACCCTATAGACAGGATTTTTCTAGAGTGAATGAGGACAGATTGGCAAATCAGTTGAAGGTGTCCCCCATTATCCATGACAATGCTTGGGCCTTACATGATTATCATGCGTAGACATGCAAGTACAGGTTAAGCTAATAACAATAAGCAACATTTGAATTATTTTGGGCTTTGTGCAAGCTATTCTTAATGTCACTCCAATAGTGAGAAAGCAGTTATAGGTTGAAATCTTTAAAACTCTAATTGAACTTTTGACGAGCATCAATTATTTTTGTTCACTGGGAACCAAGCAATTTTAGAACATTTGAGACAATGTCACTTGAGTACAGTGTGTTCAGTTTTACTAGATCATATGTAGCTAGACAGAGAATCCAAGGTTAAAAAGGATATGTTAGTTTTCTATATTTTGTCTGGTAAAACTTTTCTTTTTGAGGAACACCAGCATTCTAATGCATGGTTATTAAACTCCTCTTTGAAACAATGTAAAATAACAACAGTGAACTTATGTTTCATTCAACACAGTTGTGTTTTACAAGAACTGATTTTTGCAACTTTTAACAAATCAAAAAGGTTTGTTTCTTGGTTTGAAAAGATAATTTGAATAAGTAGGATATCAAACCTTTTTGTGAATTACACCCATAGGAAGAAAAGGCATGTGCTATGTTATTTTCTAGACATAGTTGATAGTAATTACAAAATTTAGGCATTTTGCTCTGTAGCAGCCCTCTTGTTATCAATGCTGTTTTGGTGAGTTAAATCATTGCCTTTATCTGCAATATCTAATTTATTCTCATTTATCAAAACTTTGAATATCCAAACCTTGTTTATCCTAGCACCATTTTAGGTGTGATGTTTTATATATGAACAAATTTTCATTTGAAAGAACACTAATTTAAGCTCAACTCCTAATGAATTTGAGCCATAAAATGAATCCAGTAAGTTATTAAAGCATCCAATTGAGTTGATCTCTTTGAGTTGTGTGACCAGCATATACAAAAATAATTTGTTATTCACATGTTTTGCCTACCAGAGAATGCAAGCCTCTGACAAATCAATCTAAACTATCCAGTGCCATTGGCTATACCATGGTGTTACTTAAGGCTAAAATTATATTGACTCTTTCTCATATGTCTTATGTGTGATTTTTCCTGAACAAAATCTTTGATAATCCAAACTTTTGGCTTATACAAGCAGGTCTTCACACAATTCATTCCAAGATGTTTAGATCAACGAGGTTTCACTGTAAATTTATTTCAACTTATCATACTTTGTAAAAATTCAACATTCAAATTTATGAACTGCAAACATAATGTAGAAACCAGTAGTAGACTTAGCCATTGTAGGACTTTCTTTATCATCCTTGATCTTGATAATTTTATAATTTTTTAGCATGAATGCAGTTGGTGAGACTTACCGAAAAACAACAAAGCAACTTGATCTAGAGAAAAGAAGAAACAAATTAGCAGAGCTATTATCAATGGAAACAGATGCGTTACAGGTTCTTAACTATGAGCTAAGATGTCTTAGATGTTTCAATATTCAGCTGATTGTTTGCTAAGAGTTGTAATTTGAAAAGGCAGCAATTTTCCCTTTTGGTGCTGAGTTCAACAAAAAAAGATACACGAAATTGGAACAACAAACAATGGTTATTTAAATTCTATATACAAATCCGGTTTGATGCGCAACATGGTTACAAAACTTTCTGATCCGTTACAATTGAATTGGTACTTTTATATTTCATTCGATCAAATTCGCATTCTTAAGCAATCTGAAATCTGTGCTCTTGGAGCACTCCAATAAACAGAACTTAACTCCTCAAACCCGTTCTGTGACACTACAGCAAAATTCTAAAATAATTAAGTACAATTAAGTGCATACAATAGGGAGGAAAATCTTTTCTTCCTCAAAAACGTTAAAAATTAAAAAGAAGTGCAAGTGCAAAAAGCCAATATTTGATTGTATGACAGACCTTGGTTACAGCTAATTAGATAATACACACAAAAATAGCAGAATAACATGAAAAACAGCAAGCTTGGGAAACCTTTTTAGCAAGAGTTGATTGCTAAATGTATTCAGATTAACACTAGGAACAAAAATTTGCCTATCAGAACAAACCATATGAAAATTTTCTGCTTGCAATTATTTAAAATCTGTGTGCAAAATTGAACGCAACCGATACTTCTTATAGCCTAATTCTTGACACATTTGCTATAGCTTTTTTAAAACTGTGTCATTATACCATTTCAAGAAAGACTAGATTTTGTTGCTACCATATTTCCAAAAAAGAAAGCTACCATATTTCCAAAAAAGTCCATTACACCCAAAAATATATTTTTGCCTGATTTTTTGTATAGAAAGAAATGAGGCAAAGCCGACTTTCAAAGGCAGGAAAGCTCATAGAAATGAAGGACAGGTATGGACAATTTTTGAAACTTTATCATGTTTTGGTTATGTCTACTATTTTCTTTTCATTCTTCTAAGCCCTTTGTAAACTTCTGCTGTTTCTTACTTTTGTTTCATAGTGTTTTAATAAAAGAAGATCCAAACCCTGCCTGTTCTTCAACTTTCAGCACTTCCAGCTTTCTTCTTAGTAGTAATTTCGACTTTCTTTGTTGCTTTTGTTGTAGTACTATTAGAGTAAAATACGCAATTGCTACTCTTCAAAATTACTTTTTTGATCTGAGTTCTTTTTATTTGCCCCAAGCTTTATCAATTATAAGTATGTTTAATCATGTAGCCTGTAATTAAAAGCTTGAATTTATTATAATTGAATTGAATTGATCATTGTCAGGTGTTAAGCTCTTTTTCTGATAATTGAGGAACTCCATACAACATTTGTAAAGAATGATTAACAGTCTATATAGAATAAATGACCTTTTATTTTTCATACTTCATTAAAACACTAGGCTTACCCAAAATACTTTAATTCAGTTTTCTAACGAGATTTTTTTCACTTTCGTCTTTAGCTCCCAAATACCTTGATATTTGTAGTAGCCATCTCAAGACCTGTCATTGTTATAAGTGCTGGAGAATGAATTATTCTAAGTTCAAAGCCTAAGTTTCACACCATGGGTCTTCCAAAGAAAAATCTTTGATCATAGTAAATCTACTGTACAACTAAGACTTTTTGGACTTTTTAGACAAGTGTATAGTTAGTACTGAACAAGACCTTATAATGATTTGTGTAGATTTTTAGATTCCGCCTAAACGTATGCTAAAATATAAATCACCTCGATGTAATTATTATCGTTTCGACCATTCTTTTTTTGATGCATCTCACTTGTTTTCTAGAGCTGATGAGTTACGAGATGCAAAAGAAGAGAGGAGAAAACAGGTAACTGAAGTTCCCACACTTTTCTCTCATTTAAACTGTTACCCATTAATTAATTGAAAGTGCAACGGCACGGATAATTTTTCTTTCATAATTGTCGAAAGCTATCAAAGAAAATACATTGTAGTTTATTGAAACTTCTACGATTTCCAAGCCCTCATTGGTGTTACTACATGTTAACTGAAACTCTTATGATCGAAGATTATGCCTCTGATTAAAGACACTTAGATTAGATTACAAGATATATGGAGAGAGTGATCAAAATGACATTTATTTACGGTAAAATCCCTCTCTTTGTAAGGCTTCATAAGTTAAAATCTGAACTACCTGGGTCCAATGCAGTTCATGCATATGAGCATTTCATTTCAAACCTCAAGCCTTATGTTTACAAACAGGTCTTGTATATACGGGGCTGGATATTACGATATTTATTATGATTAGGTACCGATGCTGTTTTTGAGGATTTAACTGTAAATTCTTGCTTACATTCCGGTTTTATTACTGCACTGGAATTGTCCAAAAAGTCCTAATGGAAAAAGAAAAGCAAGAATATTAGCCTTATAATACATGCACATCAGCGATTCGGCTAAACATGAATTAGAGAGAAGTGGTAACGTGTTTACATGGCAATCTGTATGACCTCAGTTCATTGATAATAAGTTTATATAACTTCTATTGTGATTATTAATCTGTCGTTCACAATCAAACTGTGTCTACTATCAAGAATATCTACCGACTTTACCGCATGCTATTTGGTGTTGACCAACTGTCTGTGTTAAAACAGTGAATTGTGTATACATATCTAACTTGATATTCAAATAGACGCCCAAGTTTCAGATTCTAAAATCTAATTATTCAAATTCACGAAATTATGAAACTTATTGACTTGTTTGCTTAATACAATGTCTGTGTTTTGCTGTTTCCCCAAATAGAAAATGTTAGTGTGGTTTTATTCTATATTTTATTGACCTTTCGTTGAATTGTTCAGTTTATTTGTGTGTGTTTGACGTTTTTTCACTCATCTTTGCTTAATTATTGTCGTAGATAGCAGAAGAAAAACTATATCAACACTGGAAAGAAAACGAACCAGATTTGCGAAAGGTAAATCTAATCCAGCGGGTTTTTGTTGCACGTAAACCTTATTTAGCTCATGTTTTAAAAAAAATTGAAAAATTATATGAATATCTATTTGCCTCAAACAGCTTATGGCTTTTGGACCAGCACTCACAATTTGCTTCCAACCCATAAATACATCTATGCGTCTTTTTTATGTCTCGTTTTGCTGGACTCAGCAGTCACTAGATCATCAAAGATTGACTGTAAAATATTTTAACGACATTTAAGGTTGTTTGTTAGCAAAATTTTTGATAATGAAGGATCTTGTAGCTCATACGCTCTCTAAATCCTTTAAGTTTTAGGATTGCTGCTCGATTTTTTTTAAGGTTAACCCTAAGATATTTTTATTGGTAATTCCGCATCATTTAATTAGATACTACTCTTAAATAATGCTAATTAAACGTCCATACATACATCGTGTCGAGTGAGTAGATGAAAACATATTGTTGTCAATTTGTGCCCTTAATGAAATCATCAACCTGCTGGCAACAACTCTGTGAACTCTGATCTCGATAAGGCTATTTAAATCATATTTCTTTGGTTGTACAGCTGCCAATCGTTCTCTATCTGTGCGCATCAAGCTTAAGCTAGGTACACAACTGTTATAATCATCGAAAGATTCGCAGATGATTCAAGTTCTTAACCGTCGTGGAACTTTGTAATTTTTCTAATGGAAAATTTCACATCTGTCAAAGGATGGGGACAATCTTGAAAAAGTCATGATCACAAGACGAGCTCTTTATTATCAATTGCAAGGGAACTTTTAGAGTATCCTGACGCTGTGCAAATTAATCATGCAGGGACGGGTTTACTGGGGGGCGTGGGGTGCGACATTCCCCATATGTTTGTGTTTTTCGGTAAATTTTGCTTCAATTAGGTATGAAGCATTTTTGGTAGTCGGTTGTAACAAAATTATGCAGAAAAGTTGCTTTATTGCCTTGTCTTAAAGTTGAGAATCAGATTTTAAAAATGGGCGTTTCCATCATTTTCCAATCACCTGAATGGTGTGTCACGTGTCGCAGGATCCAATCATTATCTAACACCCCCACTCCAAAACTTGCCTCTAAAGTCCGTCCCTCATGATCATGATCATCGCGAGAATCGGTAATTGGATAAAGCCTCTCAGTCGTACGATATTTTAAAAATTTTCGTTCAAATGACCCCTCTGATGATAAAGTATTGCAACTGCAGAATTTATTACCTTTAAACATTTTCTTATCTTATTCAGTAGTGTTTATTTTAATTATTTTTTCTAAAGGTTCAGTCGACACAAGTGCAGCAAAATGTCATTCGCGGTTGGGGAGAACAGATCACAGAGAGACGAGAGGTGAGGTTTCTTAGGCATTGCTCGCTAAACTGTAGCCTTGGATTGGAAAACTGTGTTATTGTTTTAGAATACTTTAAAGATTTTGAAATAGTAGAGATAATACGGATCTTCTAGGGGTGGACAATTCGGTCTCCAGCGCACCCAGAACAACCTGTTTCTAACTGCGTGAGACCGCTTATCGTTACACAGAGTAGCCGCCGGGCGACCAAATTTTTACTTGAATTGTCCACCCCTGTTTCCAGAGTTCCCTTTCCGGAGACCACATGCCATGTGCGGGAGGCTACAAAAAGAGCCGCTGGTCTCCCACGAGAAGAGCACTTTTCACTGGAACTGCCCACCCCTGTCTCCCCTACTTGAAAAGAAAAGTTTGCAGTTATTTTGATGGCAATTGAGATTTTTGCAATGGTGCTAAAAATCCTAAGTTTTAATTAGTTGTTGAATCATCTGACCGTTGTAAATCTGAGCCTTGTCAAAAAGTCATTGAAAAAAGTTTTTGATTTTTCGGTTTTGTTTATCAAAGAATCGCTTGAAAGGTTTGCGAGCTATTTAGTCAGCAATTTTGACATTTGCAGATTCATTTTTCAAATTTGTATCGGCTATCGATATGATATATGATGCATTTTTCCACTAGATTGCGAAAACAGCGAGAGATGAAGACAGGAGGTCTGTGAAATTTAGCAAAAGTTTTTAAAATAGAAGCTTCAAAAATTGTTTATATTGATTCGCGCCCTACTTTCGTAACAGTCAGTGTTTGCAGAGAAACCATATATAGAAATGACTTTAATTTAAGATGTCACCTATCGTTACTTTTATACTTTCTTTAGGTCTTATGAGCAATAAAAAGGTAGGTGCTTGACAAAATAAGCACCTTAAACCTTCCAGCACGTTAAACCTTCTTGTGTAACATGCTGAGCTTGTTATGCAAATGAATTACTCAATTTAACAACTTGCTAGTTTAATTAGTCGTCAACCATCGTTTGAAAGTGAAGGTTTGTTTGTTCAAAGTGTAGCAAGTAAATATTCTTGAAATGTTTTAATTTGTGCTGATATTTGTAGCAGTATTGTTTAAATATCTTTAAGAAAAATAAAAAACTCAGTATCATGCTACCAATAAATCTGAAACCCTGTAGTCAATCGTTAATTCAAGGTAACTCTTATTGTATTGAAATTTGTGATACGAAATGAATTTAGGTTGGAGCACATGATGGAGATTGATCGTTTGAGAGTCATGCAAGCTGAAAAGAAGAGAGCAGAAGAGAGAAAGATGGAAGAGATCGAGTTGAAATCCCAGCTGCAAAAGCAAATGGAAGAATTAAGAATCAAGGACGAAGAGGCCCAGATGCTCAAAAGGGAAGAAGAGGGGTTGGTCAAGCAAAGGATGCTTATTGATGGGGCTGTAAGTTTCGTTTTCTTGACCTTGGTCTTTGGCAATTGAGCATTGCGTACAAGGCCCTTTGTTTATTGAATGATTATCTTAATATAGATTAACTGTTTGATGACGTCCTACGTCTTTTAGAATTTTTTGTTATTTAGACCTCAATTTTGAATTACACCCCTGATCTTTCTCCAAATGTTCAAAATTAGCCAAATCTGTTACCAATTGGTTAACATCACTTCTCTCAGGTCATGTAAGAATCATTTCCAGTATTGTTTTTGAAGACATTTTCAATATTACAACAATAAAATACAAGCTCTTTGTCTACACCGCTAATACATTAAAGTAAGATTATCAATATGACACTAGCTTAAAACGCTTGTAAAAAATATGATAACGTTTAAATGTTTGGTTTGTGATGATATTTTAAATTTCTTTGTCACAACATATCTACTTAGAGATGATACAAACAGTTATATAAACTGTAAGTCAATTCTCATCTTTATCATTCTATTGTATGTAAAACACTAAATGAAATCTGAACTCTGATAATGTAGAGAAATCAGTTGGTTGCACCAGTCTACTGCTGCTGCAAATAGGAAAGAACATGAGAAACCGTTTGACAACATGAGAAACCGTTTTCAACATGGTTGTGTAACCATTTATTTATAGCAAAGAACGCTTGTCAGTTTTTTCTAGCTTTGCATGTGCTTATTTCTTGCCTGCATGCCAAGCTATAAAGAGGGTTATCATTAAGCGAGATGGGCGTTATGGTCTTCCAGTAAATGAATTATAACCCCTCTCTAATTATGTACTGGAAAATATATTAAACTGCTGGAACTTTAGTCAGCACAGGGAATTTTGTTGCAATTCACAGAAGGTAAGATAGCCTTATTGCATTCTAGGAAGAAAAACGCAGGCAGTTTGAAGAGCAGCGAAGGAGACAGGAATATGGGTAAGCTTTCTACAATAATAAACCTAGCCGTAAAGTTCAAATCTCGGACCAGCTCTTTTTACGTGCATAATGCATTCCTTTGTCCCTCTTATTTGTCCAATACCTGCTTTTTTAAGTTCATTCCTCTTTTTTTTACTTCTTCATTAATCGAAAGTGACCTCTTGTGACCGCGTGGCTGGTAAAAATCAACAAATTATATTTCTGGTTTCTGGTTTGTGTAACATATAGAATATCTGGCTTACTCACAGTCAATTGGTAAGAGTTCAAAGAGCTTCATTTCTGGTCGTCGTGGATTATTTTCTAAAATTTCACGTCAGAAACGAAGAAATATTCAACGTTTCTAATTACAAATTTATTAATGCGGATTATTAATGCAGAACAAATATATAAAGAGTCAGTAAAAAGTGAATTTTATATTTGAATTTATTTTTATTGTATATTATCACGTATTTTACAAATGGAAACATGAGCTGGCTGAAACATAATTTGACTGCCCAGAATAACTGTTACACCTGTTTTCCATATTGCCATCTACTTGTTTTCAGAATGTGTTAATCTTTTGCAGTCATCAACTCTATGACCTGACTTGAAGCTACAAAATTACATTTTTGGAGGAATTACAGTTGAAGTAGCTTATTTTAGGCACATCCGCCTTAAAGCAAGCTTAAAATAAAATGTTTGGATCAGAGCAAAGATTAAAGATGTTTAATTGTGACACCGAATTTTTTCCCAAAAAGTCAACAAAAAATTTCAGTGAGACATTAAATAAGTTTTATATTCTTACAAAAATTATCAACGCTGAAAGGTTCTTCTGAAATACAGACGAGCAAAGAATCCCCTCGTTGGAATAGAAGTGTATCAAGTTGTCAATGAACGATATTTCATAAACACATTTTCCAACAATCCTTGTCTTTGTTGGTTCACATGACTCCATAATGTCTTCGCAATGATTTTTCATTTCACAGACCTCAGCACACGAATCACCCCCTTTTTGAGTTTCCAATGTAGCAGCCGATTATTTGCTTTTATTGTGCATCCTCAACCACTTGTTTAAAACCACTTGTTTAAAACTAATTGATCAGAAACTTCAACCTTGAAGTATCTCTTTTTAACTCTTAATCTTTAAACTCCTATTGAGGCAAGTTTTGCAACCCTTTTGATAAATATAGATAGATTTTTTGCAGCACTTTTCGTCTTCTTCAGCTCTCATTGAACTACCTTTGATATCTAGGATTTTTCGTCATCTTTATTCTTAAATATTGTCATGTTTTTAATCTTGCTTTTTCTACAGGAGAGTTCTCGTGAGGCAATACAAAGCTCAACTTCGCAGGAAGAGTAAACAGGTCCAGGATGCTTTGGTAAGTGTTGTTGGCAGTTGAACTCATTAATTAATACTGATAACCTCAAACTCATTTCTTCACATTTTCAGCTGTTCGGCTACAATTCCAGACATATGGTGTTAAGATTTTGCACCCCCTTATTGGGGAAGGTGGCAAATGCTGGATTGTAATGAAATCATACATACATGCTTCCCGAAATTTGTTTAGGACTTTGTCCCAACAGCCGTTTTCAAGAAAGGCACTTAAGAGAACAATGTTTTGTGAGATTCATTTTTTATTCAATCTGTCACATAGTTTCTCTCGAAACAGACACTTAACTGGCTTAAGATCTATTATTACATTCTTGGTTAAAGAAATTTTTTATTTAAGTGCATCATTACCTTATTGAAGTTAATGTTTCTGAAGCATTTTTCTTCATGTATAAGACCTATAATTCTTGTATACAGGAATTGGACTTGAAGATACTCGAGGACCTTGCAAAACAGGTAAATTTATAATCCATTCTGCAAACGCTGCAAATCGTAAATCGCAACCAGACGTGGTTGAAAGGGTGATTGAGGATGTTTGTGGTGTCCGCAGTTTGGCAAGGTTTTCAACGGAATATACACTTTTTTGTGAAAATACCTCATTTTTGCCGCGCCTCAATATTCTTACAAGATTTCGATTTTGATCCTAAAGTTATTCTGAAATTATTGATGTGTGACACAAGGTATAAATTCGCCTTGAAATCAAAGACAAAAGTGCAAATCTTTCTTCATGTGTTGCATTATCATAAACTTGAAGAGTAACAGAATAGAGCTATAAATGTGGTATTAAATTAAATTTTAATTACTCACAGAGCGGATTAGTGTATTTAAAAAATATATATAGCATGAAAAAAGCAGTTGTTTTGCTTAGTGAGAAAACTGAGGTAAGTAAAAAATTATTGATGAAGCTTGAGCCTGGCATTATTGTTAAATTATTCTCAAATTATTCTTAGATGATTTATAAATTTAAGCGATTTTGAGCTTCAATATTCTTATAGACTATATTTTTATATATAAAAATATATATGTTTTCAAAGCATCTTGCTTGCTGCTTATTAATTCCATGTCTCGACAATTGGTGATTTATTTTATGACTTCTTGTAACAAATATGAATCAATTCTCTTAAGGAACAAGATGAAATGACAGTAAGAACATCACGTAGAGAGAAAGCCAAAACAGAGGCCGAGAAAATGAGACAGGTACTGCGATTGCAAGTCATTGCTATTTTGCTGGAACTGGCAAACGGTGCCAAAGCATTCTGAGCTTGACAGACCTCTAACCATATGAATATTTAATGAATATGAATTCTCTTTTTAAATACATTTATCGCACCAAATCAATTCGATGATGTTGTCATTTACGGTAAATATGGTTATAAAAAGATAATGATGAAATTGGTACGCAATTGTGCAATGGTAGCACAGTGTTAGATATATAATGCAAATTTTTAGGTTTCTTCCGATTTAAGCTTGTTTTCCTGTTGTCATGCAACATTCTCTTATGCTCCTAAAAAATTGCTTCTTAAAACAATGTATGCTCCCATAAAACAGCCAAAAGTTTGCAATGAAAGTATTTCACATGTTTTGTAAGGGCAAGCCTTCAGTCGGGAGCCTTCTTTGCCTCATAATAATAATTCCTAATCGTGCAGGATTTGTTCAAATAAACAGCAATCGTTGCTTGTCTCTGAGTTATCCTGTGCAGTCGAATGTCTCATTAACATTGGGCAAGTACACTTGATTTCAACGATACTAAATTTTAAGATTAAGTGGGGGTTTTTACTTCAAAATTTTTTTGTGTTGAAACTTATCACTGAAACTTACTGAATTACTGTTTCTTTCAGTGATCATCACACCATTTATATGTAAAGAACTATTTAAGTCGTTTGTATCTATCTTTATAAGACAATGCCAAAATTTATGCTTTTTAGGTAGTACAAGAACAGTTAAAATTGGAAAAGGCCAGGGAAGCAGAGCTTGATCAGTTGTACCAGTATGTATGATAGCGGGTTATAGTAATCTGCCATGTACTAGTTTAGTGTTTTACATACTCTAATGCAATCAAAGGATAAAGATGATAATTGACTTACAGTTTATATAACTGTTTGTAGCATCTCTAAGTAGATATGTTGTGGCAAAGAAATTTAGGATATTATAACAAACCACACATTTAAACGTTATCACATTTTGTCACAAACGTTTTCAGCTAGTCACAAACGTCATATTGATAATCCTACTTTAATGTATTAGTGGTGTAGAAAAAGAACTCGTATTTTAATTGTTGTAATATTGAAAATGTCTTCAAAAACAATACTGGAAATGATTCTTACATGACCTGAGAAAAGCAATGTAGCGAAGGATTGACAGGTTATTTGTTAGAAATGACAGTTAATTCTTAATTTAGCTGTGTTTTAAATAGACCTTAAAATTGTATTTTGGACAAAAATTTGTCAAAGCCTCGTCGCAAGTTTCACCCAGTCATTCAATACTGTGGCTCGTTGATTTAGGAACGCATCTCGTATTTCAAATTAGAATTATTTGGGGTTATCGTCTTGGTAATGTTTGTTCCCTGGAGGTTGACATGGGTTTTGTAGACAAATTTGAATTAGATCAACTGGCATTCCATTGCAGATGAATTGTTCAGCGAGATTCAAAATTGTTCACAATCTGTTTCGAATATATACCTAACGTTTGCTTTTTCAAATGCAGGAATTCTACTTTAATTTTTTGTTGTTTTTATCTGTTCTACTTTTTACTCATTGTCATAATTTGTTCAACAGAGAAGAAGCTGCGAGGCAGTGGCAAAAACGCGAGAGTGAGTGGGAGCGCGAAAGAATCGCGAGGGAAAGGCTGATGCAAGAGGTACATCTTTGCTTTGCATGATGTTTCTTAGATAGGCCCCGTGCCAATTTCTAATAGAGTGATTTGTTAGGCTCCTAGATACAAGTGCTATATATTTCTGTAGGAGAAATATTCTGTCTGTAAAAAGCTTCTAAGCAATGATTTTCATCTATTCCAAAAATTTAGTTCCGATTCTTTACTGAATAATAAGTCAGCAATATTTGCACGTAATTAGGTTCTTCACGAGAGGCAGAAACAAGTTGATGACAGAATTCAAATCGTTCTCCGCAAAAAACAAGATTCCATCGCTGAAAGAGAGGACTTGATACGGCAAATGGAAGACTATCAGCAATCGTTAGAAACAGAAAAGATCGAAGAGGAAAATAGGAAACAAGAGAGGGAACGTGAAATTAGCGAACAGGTTAGTGGCAGAAGGAGTTTGATTGAGAAGTCATGTTGCGGCTGGGTTGTAATCAAATTAAAACAGGCTTTGTAATCATATCGAAACCTTAGCTCCAAGAATTTTTTGATTAAAAATGCCATCGTATATTAGAACTTGGAATTAAGCAGTCAAAGATGAATTTGTTACAAACTAAGGAAAGGTTTATGCACAAGGCTAGATTCAGCCTTAATCTGCAGAAGGCTTTAACCCCTTTCTTTTCATTTAAGTTATTTGCATTTTGACACATCTTATACCAACTAACAGCACTTTTTTGATTTAATGTTTTCAGACTTTTTGAATATATACGCCCCGGAAAACATCAAAATTCTTTAAAAGCCAAGCACCTGCTCTATTTGAGTAATAACAAGCCAAAAATTCATATTTAGTGTTGCAAGACGTTTTCCTCATACCATTGAGTTATTTTTAATTGTTTTGCCTGCCATAAACTAAGTTACCGTACCAAAAAGTGGGTCTGGTGGAAAATATTTGTTAATCGACTGCGCCCTATGCTAAAATATTCAAGAAATGGCTATTATTGGAATCATTTTTGGTGCCATTATTGCTGAACTGCCTTGATCAATATCTGAAGGCTTGATCTTTCGAGACCACCAGATCCAAAATAACCTTAAAGGTCCTCAAAAGTTTGTTTTGATACGCGTTTTTGGAATCTTTGCTGCCGCTTTAGTCCCTTTTCGACAGGCAGAACATTTAAAATAGCTTGTGGTGAGCTATTTACGATTGACCAGGTTAACAATTTGAACGATTTTGATCCCATCTAAGCCCAAAAGTATAACCCATGAAAGGGTTCATGCAGCATATTCTCTCAGTCGTTTACAACACCCTTTGAAATAACAAGCTAAGTAGGCTTTTTCATATTGAATCCTACAAACCTAAGGTTATTTATCCTATCATGGCTATTGTATATTCATTGATAGTACGATAGTCATCTACCCTCATTCTTGCGGTGAGTTTACTATCTCACTCTTCTCAAACAAGTCCTGTCCTGATTTTCACATCTCAAAGAGGAACCTGTTTTCTTGTAATAAAACTATACATATGCCTGACCAGCTTGTTTTATAATAAAGTTCCCCTTAACTATAGTTAAAAGTCTCGACCAAAATTATAACTTCATTGACCCGGTCCATTTTTGCATGCATATACATTTGAAAAACGTGTTATATGCAGTACATTTTTCACACTGGCCTTGCTAAGACATGTTGGTTTTCTGTCACCTATTCTTTAAATGCGCACTGTGCCTGGAAATAGACGATGAAGAAATCAAAAACACGATTTGATGACAGATGAAGTTTGAAGACATGTTTGCAGTATGAAAATTCTAGAAGTTAAACAAATTTCTATAGTTAAAACTGAAAATGCACTTGCCAAGCTTCACGAATTGATTGCTCAACATTCAAACAATAACTTAGCTTCCCTGCTAAGCCCATCGACACCTTTTTGTGCTAAACTGTAATGTCGAAAAGGAAACTGTTCTTAATCATTTCAATAAGCTGAATTTCCATTAGTTAACTTCCCAGTCGTTTTTCGTGCCTTCATTGATTCGATTTTTACCTAGATCACTGCAAGATCTCAACGTAGATGGGACGATCAAATGAAAGAACAGGAATTGCTTGATCAGAAAAGGTTCGTATGTCTTGACCAATGATTTGCTTTTTGTTTCTTTAATAAAGTCAAATAGATTCGCAATGCTGACATTCAGTATTTGGTTTCTAATGTGCATGCTTAAGTCGGCTTAAGGATAAAAATTCTTGCCATTTGATATCTTTATATCACAAAATGCCAAGCTTCCACGTTTCGCCTAAGCATCCTCTGAGACAGGTCAATGAGCATCGTTAATCTTCATCTTTGCACAAAACACGTGTTAGAAATTCAATACCATTAAGTTTTGAACAGCCTCTGTAAGGTGTATTCTATATTCTTCTCCTAATCAATATTTTTTGTTGACTTTCACTAATTTTTAAAAGTTATCTAACTTACACTTTTATATCTGTCCTTCTCAATGGGTTCTCGTTATTGTTTTCAAATATGTGATTTTCCATCGATCTTCACAAAGGTTAGCCTTTTGTCTCTTTGGAAGACTTAACTATATGCTACCGACTCTATAAGGTATGCTGTGGCGCAGCCTGCACAAGAGGCCTTGTTTAATGATGTTAACTTTTTGTGTTTGTATTTTACGATTTTTCATGTTTTTTTTATGTTCCATCTCCAAAAAAACCAGCTATTTTGCGTTTAGTAGTCAATAAACAAATTTACTTTGAATTTAACGCTGATCGATTGAAATTAATCACCATTTCTAAGATCTGTACATTTAGGCAATACTGCCGTCATTTCCCTAGCTTAGAACAGCCGCGACACCTTAGCTTCGTCATTTCCTAGCAATTCCATTGGTGTTTTGAGTGAATAAGCTTTAATGCAGACAAACATTGGAAAGGGTGGTGCTCAATTACACAATCTTAAACAGGAAGAAGAATTTAGATTTTTCAATTCTAATCATTTAAGCTCTCTGTGTCAGGGCATTTTTCACATACTATCTAGGGAAAAATAGCCCCTCCAGCCCAGGGACCTTCCGTTGTTGAAAACAGTAGTCTATTGCTCTATTTTTATATGTACCTTGGTTTGCTTGAAAAGGCCACGATCCGTGTATCTTTTTTCTTAAATTTTTCCTTTTTGTTATTTAGTTATTTTTTCAATTTATGTACTAAAACTTTATTACTTAACCAGCGGTTGCTATTAGGCAACCAGACCTTTGACACGTTTGTGACAAAGCGATAAGCAGATAATTTCTAGATTTATTTACCTTTTTTGCTATGAGACAAATTCCGGTAACTCTCCCATAGTAACACCACACCCACAGTAATACCACATAACTTACGCACGTGGGGGATCCTTCTTTTTAATCATTTTGCAAATATAACATCGTCCTATTTAGAGCAAGGGGCCAAGAGTTATCTCATTTATAAGACATGAAAAACATTAAATATATTGTGATATTACCTGGGTACAACCCCACGCCGAAGTGCCTTGGTTCAAATGTACTACAAAATATTCTCTCTATTGTTAGATCATTATCCCATCCTAACACAAAACTATCATCATAAAAAACAGGAAAGTTAATGAACTTTGTGAACATTTAAGGCTCAGGCCAAAGCCTATGGACCCTGGAATGTACAGTGCCTGGGGATCACTCAGGAACTCCCAACTCCACTTCTTTATCGACATATCAAATGTAGCCCCCTTGTTTTCAACTTGTTAAGCGCCTATGGACCCCAGAATGTACAGTGCCTGGGGATCACTCAGGAACTCCCAACTCCTCTTCTTTAACGACATATCAAATGTAGCCCCCTTGTTTCCAACTTGTTAAGCGCAATTGATTGATTGCTACGGCTCATCTTTTCATCTATAGGCATTTGATAACTCAGTAAGATCAAAGTTTTTTTCGAAATGATACATGGTTTAAGTATTTATCACTCATTTTACTTATAACTTTTTTCCTTGGGGCCCCTAATCGCCTTTTACTGTTTTCCTTCTGTCTCTTTTTACAAAATTCTCACCTCTTTTTTGGCTAGTAAGATTAAAAGAAGTCATGAATCCTTATTATCGGTCGCATAGTTCAAAACTACCCTGGGCACCCGAAGGTCGCATAGCTTTCTCTCGTCTCTCTTATTTTCCTCCTCCGCGTCTCTCCCCATCACTCCTCCGCAGCTGCAATGCCAGGGCGTTCAAAAACAAACATCAACCAATGCGTCTGCAATGAACATGTATCAGATAATAACAATAAAGGACACAGCTATTTTTCATTCCAATTAAGAGTGAAACCTTTCGTTTTACGGAATTCGCGCCCCTTGTGCCTTTATCTTTCATCGTCGGCGTTGATTGCTTATTTCCAAGAACCCCTTTTAGGAAATGATATCAGATCCAGTTATCTCTGGTTTTCTCTCAGGTTCTTCATGTTAAATTTGATATCCAAGACGAGCTATCCTTTAGACTATCTGTCATGAATAGGTTGATTACTTTAATATCGATACACACCTAAATTATTTGCCACAAATTAAGTTTTGTTACTTTATACTCTCATAGGGCGAAGGCTACATTTTTCTCTATTTGTTCGCTTTGTGGTCATCTGCATGTGACAGAAAAAATTGTATATTAACCACACAATAACAGAGATCACTTTCTTGAGATATTTGATGTGTTTTCACTGATTTTTCAAACTTATCGGGTTCTTTAGGTTCTTTATCCTTAAAAGAATTTTTTTAGATTTTTGTTACCCCGTGGTTAAGATCGTGCTTCGCAAAGATCCTCGGCTGGTCTACAGCTCATCTACAAGACATTGTGAATGTTTACACGTCATTATTCACTCGGAGCCAGTCTCCTTCCATGTTTTCTAATTTCCTATCAATGGTTTCTAATTCTATAAGGATGTCATTGCAGATTTGTCTATTATGCATCCGAATGCCATAACTATAGTGAATTCCCTGGGTTTTTATAGATAGATTAGCTTCAATTTCCTTCAAAGCTCCCATCATTAAGCCAGCGTTCTCAAATCATACCAGAGCATGGATTCATTCAATTCACTGTCTTGCATGATTCAGGATATCCTGATATGACCACTGACTAGACAAACAAGTTAAGAGGATGCTCATGCAATGATGCTTCAAAAACGGCTTTGTATATCCAGTTTTCCGATCTTTATGCATTCTTTTTAGCATTCATAGACTCAACAATTTCCTAACTTTTCGTCTCGTTGGCTGTCTTTTTCCGGGGGCCATGGAAGTCTTTCTTTGTTCTTTTTTGCTTGTTTCACCACACTTCCCGTTATAATTATATTGTTTATTGACAGCGCATCCTTTGTTTGGCATTAAGAATACTAGTAGAGCTTGTTAGAGCTCCCAAAATTTATCCTGGCTATTTTCGTCTTATATGAGCAGAGAAATGACGCTATCGTTATAAAGCTGCTTGAAGTGTGAAAAATTGAAGGAGACCTATTTTTCAAGTCCCTATCTCTTTCACCTTAAGAACCTCATCATCTTAGAACCTGATAACAACTCACATCTTGGTGCACTGACATAACGTCTATTTTCAACTGGTTTTGCCATTGTCATTTAGCACCTATAAAGTAGCTTAAGAAAGAAATTTGATTTCTTTTAGAAATGGCTGTGATACTTACTGTAGTTATTACGTATGTAATGAACAAGCAAGCATGCGAACATGTTAAATGGACATCAAAATTATAGATCTTGTTATAATTCGAGGAGAGTGTTTTCCTTCCAAACCATTACAACCCACAGAGTTTCCAAACCAAGTGAAACTGGTCACTGATTTTGTACTTGGTAATACGATCTGCTATAAGGATTTATTGGAATTTGATAAAAAACCACTTTATTCAAATCATACGACATTTTAGTAATATGATTGTGGAATCGCAGTTAATAAGAATAAAATGCAACCTCTCCTCACAATGCCATCGGTGACGTTTGAGTTATATAAGCCATTGATAATTGCGAATTTTTCTCAAACCAAGATGTATGGAATTGTTATGTAAAATGGCTGAATTTTCGTACCATATCAATCAACCTCCAAGCAAAGGCCATTAAATGCTTAGAACTTTGACACAACAAGCCTCTAGTTATTCAAACTTGCTTTGGCAGTCTCCGTAGATCTTTATGTTACAAATTGATCCTTATGAGTTTCTTAAAGTATTGTGAAAATTCGTCAAAAATGCATTCTGATAGGCCAACGGAGCTCCCTCTATTCCTTGTGGGTGGTATTATCTTTTAGAATATGTCCTCATTTTTAGGGAATGCCAAGTTCTAAATAGGGAAAGCATTGCGTCCTTGTTGAATGCCAAGTTAAAAAAGGGGGAAGCCTTGCATCCTTGTTGAATGCGACGTTCTAGATAGGGGAAGCATTGCATCCTTGTTGAATGCCAAGTTAAGGAAAGGGGAAACATTTGTGCCCTTGTTGTATGAAATGCTCAAGATAGGGAAACATGATAACTCATTGTTGTCATCTCAAAGATTCTAGTGACGTGTGTACACGCGCGCGCGCGCGTGTGTGTGTATGTGCGTGCGTGCGTGTGGTACGTGTGATGTTTAATTAGTGTTTATCTGTGCACAATAGATAGCTTCATTCAACTGTTTGCAATTTTTTTCATCCACATTTTCTTATCATCTTTATTCATTTTGTAGACGCGAAGAGGAGGCATACAAGAAGTTAATAAATCAAGAAGTCGTAGCGATGACAGCCCGAGACGATTCTCCAAGGGTAAATCAATATTTTCTTACATTTCTACTTCTGTTGCCCTTATACGAGAAAATCTAGAAGGGCCGGACGGAAAAGCTATTCGGGCGGATTCCGTGTTTCAAGCCCGGAACCTGATCTCAGGCTACAGGCTTTTAACTTCGTCATAACAATGTTGTATTCGACTGCACATCTGGCACAAACAGGCACTAGGCATTGACGGATAGCGAAACTCCTAGTCTCCTGGACTTCATTTCCATTTCAAGTGTTTTTTCGCTGAAAATTTCTTTGGACCATCTGATACTGCAGTGTAATAGCTAAAGATTTATGTGTTTAATGTGAAATGATAGAAAATGATTTGCTTTTTTGTTGATTACAAATTACAAATAACCTACGTGAATAACTCTGGCCCAAGTCTTGATTGCACTAGATGTACTGTCGCAGGTTCAAAGTACAGGTTTTCAAAGTTTTGTACTTTGTGGAAATGTTGGTGGAACTGATCAAATGAGTACATATTGTTATAGGCTGAAAATTCATAAATTCATGACGATATCTATCAAGTTTCTTTGACACAGGAAAGCATAAAAACACTCTTTTACTTAACAATGGCATGCTCAATGTTAATTGGTTTTCTCTTAAACCGATTTGCTACAAATGAGATAGTGTGATTCTCGTGGACATAGTCAGAAGCGAATTCAAAACTTGATACCGTAAACCAATTGATAGAAATTCCGCAATATGTCTACACTACAAGTGGTTGTCTCGTATTACCTAGACAAATCCTTGTTGACATGATAGTTCGCAACTAATATTTGCGACAATGCTATGAAATCCCTATGTTAAAAAGACTTGCATATCTAATGTTTCGGATATGACTATCAAGGAAGACTTCTAGAAAAACACATTTAGAGAACCGTGCAGACCTTAAGATCAAACTAAGGACAAGCGTGGTTTTCAAAACCTTGGTCTTATTGTGTCGATAGAATTATTAGTTTTTTAGGAATAAGACTTCGTTGTCTTCTCTTTTAGAAGAGCTTTGTTTCAAAAGCCAGTCAAGAGAGATAAACTTCTGACCTTTGTTATGAAACAAGACCTTTGCCAAAAACCAACCCACGTTAAACAAAAGAGATCTTCTCTTTGCGACACTGCTGTCGTCATTTAAAGTCATATAAATTCTGTAAAGTTCAGTGTTTGTTTTTGCAGATTTTAACTCGTGATAGGTGTTGGTATTGATGTGTTTAAAACTTAAAAGCATGTTTTAGCGAAGTTTTTATCAGGAGCAATCTTTTATTGCAAACGTGATATTTAGTTCGTAGTTATTGTTTACTTTTATTGTGCGCTACGAAAGAGCGTGCTCACTATTAGAAGTTTTCATCTTTTTGTCCACTCACAGTGCATTTTTTATTACTGCTGACCAACGGCTTTCAGCCCCCTAAATAACCATTCACTACTTTTAGTTAAATACCCTCTCTTCAAGCTGTTAACTTTTGACAATTTTAAAACTCTAAGAAGCCAACCGATTTATACCAACCGATTTCTTTATCGTAGACATTCCGTCGGAGGAAGTTCGCTTTCGAATGATGAGACAAATAGAGACAAGAAGAAGTTGCATACGAGTGAAGCTAACATGGTACCTTACTAATTTCATTGTATATAATGTTGTAAAATACAACAAATCTTAGGGTTCGGTTTGAGAATGCTTCAATTCATGAAATTAATTTGGTGTACTTCCGACTCTGGGATAAGCAGATGGTCAATAAATTATCAGAACGTGGTTGCACCATAGCTTTGAGCCAGTGCTAGTCATCTAGTGGGATTATCTTTTGAATGCGTATGTTTTCAGCCAAGAAATGAGCTCGTCATCTTTACTTAATTTAACTATTTAAAGTATAATTTCTCCTTTAAATCCTATATACAAATTTGTCTAAGCGTTTCTCTAACTGTTCTCAGTGCATATGTGTTCACGCAAGAAGTTTCCACTCTCCTCTTGTATAAAGCCCAAACTATGAACAAAACTGTCTAGCAAATATCCAGTAAGCCTTTTTAAAAGGCAATCCGCCTTCTGTTTTCTTTTCTCTGCTTTTCTAGAATAGAACGAATCAGAAGTCAACGTTAGTACTAGAAAAATTGTTACGTCACAGAAATGTAGCTTAAAAATGTAATACAGTTTACAAAGGCAAAAAGTGTACGCTTGCCACGTTTTCGAAAAATCTGCCTGCTTAAAGTTTTGTGATTAAGAAAATACAACAAATGCTGCTGGAAAATATTTTAAAAGTGGGAAAGAAACATGATTCGTCAACATCCTCCCAAAAACCAAAAACGCAATTATCCATTATTGGAAATCTTCATGGGATTTTTTGCAGAGAAGATCATACAATCTTTATACTGCAATTTCGCTAGACAGAAAAACTGAAGTTGAAAGTAAATCTTATGTATATATCAATATTATTTAACATTAGTATTTTATTCCATCTTGTTCTTTGCCCATTTGATGATGCTAGATTTAGTTCGAAACACTGGTAGTTTTCACCGAATCAATATTTCGCTAAGTTACTGAGCAAACGCATTCGATGTGGGCTTTCGTGTAAACCATTATCGATAAAACCAAACACCAAATGTATTTAGTGGTAGAAGCTTACATGATTCGTCACAGAGGTTACAGGTCTTCTTGCACAAACGCTCCATATTTCCCTTCATTGTTTCGCAGAAGCCAGATTTTTTAAATGTTGGGCAAAAATCTCTTTGTTCTGGATCATCTTGGCAACCTGAGAATAAATACAAATAAAAATGTGACTCTGGCTCCCTCTGTTTTTACTGCCATCAAAAGAAACACCCATTCCTTGCTAGCTTCAGATGAATTGAATGAATTTATGGCTATTTCTTCTTGTAAAAGCAGTCTTCGTTATCTGGATACAGAATCTTGTATATTATGCGCTCTTTTTGAAAGACGGGTGTTCTGATGGAAGTATTAAAGAACTAGTGGCCCCGTCGTATTATCCCTACCTTTTATTTTTTCATGGGCGATTTGTTGGCTTCACCACCCTTTCCTACAAGTTAATGCTACGCTTGCTTATGCAGTGCTGGTATTGAAATTATGAGCAACTCTCTTTTCTGCGAATACCAAAAGGCCTATAGTTTCAGCCGCTTACCTCCACAAAGACCACACGACGAAGCACATTGAGTTCGAATGGTGTTATATGTGTCGCAATTCTTTTTTGTTGCGTGTTTGGCGCATTTGATGCTCCTGTCTTTGCAAGCTGCAACAATAAAATGCGATATGCGTCATAGTCGCGCAAATGGTTGGGGGCTAGAATCTACAACGTAGACAAATGATCATAGCAATGTGGCAAAGTACAGAGTATGTTGAAAGTTCAGAGTAGTACAGAGTTTCGATCATTTGATCATTCCGGACTAGCTTCCTATCCGCACTCCTATCGATGATTGGATCGTTCCGGACTGACTAACTATCCGAATTTTTATCGAACATTAGACCATTCCGGACTTGCTTACATCAATAAACTAAATTATGATTTAAAGTTCTTTAATTTTTAGTGTGTAGTTAAATAAATTTGGACACAAGATAATATTTTACTGTAGAAAAACATTGGACCGGTTTAGTGTAGGTTTTTAATACCATTAGCAAAAGATGCTTCCTGTTCCCTATTATGAAAAGTGTATCCTTAAAAACTGTTCTCACATTCTTAAATTTTGTAGTACCTCAGCCGTAGCTTGCTCTTAATATTTTCTTAATTTTAGACCAATTTTGGGTGTCGAATTTGTATAAAATTGTTCTTACAAAAAGTGCATTCATCAATGCAGCCTCAGTCAAGATTACGAAGAAAGCACTGACATATTCATAAGCAAATTATAGCATATAATTGAAATATATCCTACAATGAATACCTGGGCATCCTTTTTGGTTTGGCCCTGTTGCGTATGTTGCGCCGTCCCAGCAACATCCAAATGGCATTTCATTGCATAGCAGTGGTGATACTTCTTCTAGAAATGCAAACAGAATCGAATTAGTGACGTCATCTTTGAGAATAGCTACTAGTTTTATTTATACGTCCTTGCTTCGTAAGTGTCCATTTAATCATACTGTGTTTTCAATTATCAAATCACTCGATGGTTATACTTTATAAGTCATTTATTTTATTTTATTTGTTCTATTGATCTCGACAGGCTATTTCTGTTTGCCAGAAGTGTTGGATACTATCTAAATGTACATCGTAACATACATGAACAACCCTCCCAATGGCTTGGTTTCCAAGTAAACAGCAAGAAAGTGTAGAATGCTAACCCTTCATTAGAGGTGGGAATTGGATTAACGAACTAAGGATAGTGCATTCGTTGCCTAATATTTCTCGTAGGAAACTGCAGCTCGTTTAGAAAGTACTAGAAATTATTTCATTGCATGCTGTTTCTTTAGTTCGGTAGTTTGAATGCACATCTTTTTAGGATCCGCTTTCTCAAGTTTTAATGTTTTTCGAGAATATATTACGCACAACTACTACTTTCCGTTTTTCTCAGTGTAACCACCCCCCCCCCTTCCCCGTATACCCCTTCTCTTACGCCTCTTCCCGGGCCTCTCCCCGCCAACCCTTCCTAATCTTATCAGGACCACACCACAGTTTCTTGAGGGAATAAGAATAAACGTCATTTGCGGCTAGAGGTTTTTGTTGTAATGACTCGCTTCATGGTGGCATAACCTGCAACTATTTCAGAAGGTTATGATTCTACTTTTTTTTATGTTCTTGTTTAGCAGACTTCAAAAGCAGCCAACAATAGGCATTTTCATCTCCATTAAAAGCGATCTCCGCCTGTTCTCAAAAGCAGGAGGGCATATCTTGAATTTCTTGAACATTAGCAAATATACCAGCTTTCAATAAAATGAATATGACAACCAAGGGTGCATTTAGGTTTCGTCTTCCGAGCGTGAGAGCATTTTCTGCTTTTTTAATCTGAAAATTATTGAAAATTTATTACGTGAACTTGAGTCTTTCGGATGAAGCACGACACATAAATCAATGACTCAGTCAATCCTGGGTGCGCTCTTCAAGTACACAGAGTCACTCAGTGCTCTTTCAATATAAAGGAGGCATATTCTGGGCAGTCTTCTTTGCTTCTTGCACTTGAACATTAAGGCAAAGGCAAAATATTTCCTTGTTTTTTCTATTTATGACCTTTAAGGGTGTTCAGACCTTGCAGCAGTCGTTGGGACTTCTGTAAAAACAAGCCCTGACGGGTTCCAAGTCTCAATTTGTATCGCTCACTCGTTGTCTCAAAACGGAAATATTGACTGGGAATGGAAACGTAAAATAAGGAATGAAAAGCTTATACATGCTAAAGAAATATTGTGACTTCTCTAACTATTCAATCAGACTACGACCGAATTAGCTAAAATACTTACTGCATAAACCACAGGTTCTTGGGCACAGCTCTTTCAAGCTGTCACTTATGTCACAGTATTTGTCGTACTTGATGCATAATGATTTGGAGATTTTGTCTTTGCAATCTGTGAAAACAAGGATGTTACGAGTTGACAATATTATAACCTAGAATATTCGTATTCTACTTGGTTTTTGATAGCTCAAATGAAAGTGCGTCAGAAGTCAATGTGCGACAACAAACTAAAGATATCTCTATAACAACTGGGGGACTGATATTTAAAAATATGCAGGAATGAAACCGTGTGTATTTTTTAAAGAGATCCGAATGAAATCGCCGAAGGCCAAAACGCAAATAAAGATTAATCCTACTCTTGTGGCTTGAATAGACGAACAGATCGTTACATTACTTCTTTAAAACTAACAAATACAGTAACAGAAATTATGAGTGGGGTTTGGGGTGCAATTTAGAGGTACTTTTATAGAGGAAATAGAAGGCAACTCAAACAGAAACTCAAAATATTCACTCCGATCAAACAAGACACTGCTGAGGAGTCAGACTCGCCAAGAAGACTGTATTGTGGCACAATAAAGCAGCCATCTATCTACTTAAGTGCTGATTAAATTATTTTGCCACTACCCTCTTCATTACGGCAACCAGTGAACCAACCCTACTTTGTCATATATTAACCAACTGTTGGTAGTTAATTCGTCTGCGGTAAGAAGTTATTGATCCTTCATCATTTGCAAAATCCACATAAACCAAGTCGTTTAATTTAACATATTAAGGCATTCTCTAAATCCTAAGCTCGTTAGTTGATAAGAAAGTATGAGGTTGTTCTGTGGTCCCAGCAAATTAGGACGTAATCAGTGCCAATAATTGAATGCTAGCCATACGCAACCTAAATGAACATCTCCCTTCATAACCTAAATAACACTTGCATGTACTAAGAATTATTTTAATTTCATTGCAACCACTATCCACTAAGATGAAACCTGCTGACAGACTGGCTACAGGTATTTTATACTCTCTTATGTTTTGTCCCATTTACTGTTTGTCCCTGGGGCTAATGGCAACAATGTCACCGAGTACAATCCATCCAATCATGTCAGTCACATAATGATGTTTATTCATTATGTCCGTTCTACAGAAGCATTATCAAAGAGGAGGGTTCAGATCTTCCATGATAAAGGGACTTTCTATTTTAGTTTCCCATATCATTAAGTTTTGATAGATTTTGAGTGTTTAAGATTTTTGATGACAGAAGTAACCAATATACTTGACTATTGCGGCTTTGACCCAAAAGATTAGATTTGAGACCTGATACAAGATATGGAAAATCGATAACAATGCGTGGTAAAAATTAGAGAGGAAACACGATTCCACTATTTATTCAATTTTAATAAGATTTTACGTAACTACCATTAAGGTTTGGTGGCAGGCATAACGAATCCGGATAGGAAACATGTTTTCTTGGATGCCACATTAACAGGAGGGCGTTTTCTTACTCTAGCGTCCTGTGATTCGATGATCCATTAAAAAAAACTCTTCGATGTGTATGACTCGAGGTTGATTGGATTATCCTATCCGGATTCAGTAGTTCCACCGGTCTGATTATATAGGAAATATTGTACACATACCTGAAGGTTTTATTGATGAAGAAACTAGAGAAAAGAAGACAAATTTTTAACACAAGCCGTCTAAGCAACATTTCATGAGAAGTGAATATCTTGAATTGAAAATGTTTTTAATACAGAAAATTAGTGTCAAATTTCGTCATCTATTAGTGAATTGAATCTATGTAATTAATAAACACAGCATCTCGTTCACAACCATACTCATCGGTTATCTGTGTGTAGTGAAATTGGTTTCCAAATTCCACGATATGAGTATTTTACTCCAAGTTTGAGGTTTGCATGCCAAAAAATGAGAACACCTCTATTTGAGAAATGCTATGGGTGATACAGCAATCATGATTGGTTAAGCTGATACCGAAAACTTCCTCCCTTATCTGTTTGTTATTCAAAATTTCCTACGGGTGAAAATAGAATGAATCTACTTTGCATTTTCGAATGATGGCTTTTCAGATTTTCACTAATGCGCGTTCGATGTCCTTTGCCCCTATTTATTAATGCCTGTACGAAATCATAAAAGATCCCGCTTGGATATCGAAGGTCGCATTGGGACCAGTATCTGAGGGTCCGCCCACCGGTTGATAGTTTAAACTACCTAAAAAAATCCTTAAAAAAGCATGACTTCTGTAATACCAAAAAGAGAGCTTGAATCACGTAAAGATAATCGTGAAATTTTCGAATTGCTGATAACACCTGGATTGCCCCCCCCCTTCTCTCTCCCCTTTCCCTCTCGGGGGACTGCGCCCCTGCGGTAGCATCAGTTGATGTGAATGATATGAAGAATGACTGGCGCTGATCTGCCAGTCAATTGCGCTGCTCTGAAATTTATACAGACATTTTAGAAGCAGATGAACAAACTGGGGAATTTTGTGAGAAAATTTGATACGTGTTGTAACTTTCTTGTTTGATTATAAAAATATTTTGATTTTGCTAAATACACGTTGTTAACAAAATGCTGAAAGAAGTCCAAGGTGATGAATAACCAACTTCAAGTTTTAGAGAATATCGTTTAGAAAATCTTTGCTTAAACAGCGATTTCGGGTAATAAAATCAGCAAAGATGCGGTTGTTCTTTGGCAGTTATAAAATCAGAGACCGTTCTTGGCTGAGGTTTTTACTTTAAGTTCAAATTTCTTTTCTTGGTAATATATCCTATTGATAGTATAACCGAATTCAGAATATATTACTATACTCAGCTAGATCCAGTAACTATTTAGAAACAACTACTTACCCGATGTTTTCCATTGATCACTCAATAAAGCTTCTGCTGATTTTGAAATCGCAATGTCGTACAGCCAGCATAGCAAGATTACCGCAATGGACCTCATGATTCAGCGATGTAACAGAATCCTTCACTGAAACGGCAAATTTGTAGATGAAATTAATATGAAATATCAGTGCCCTGATGATTGAGAGGATAAGAAGATGCCACACAAACTGTGTCGAGTTCTCTACTACACTCTGTCACCGGTCGTTTGAATTTATAGACAGGCAGGCTGAGACGGATATGGGCAAACTATTTAGCATATGTGCTTATAAGGAAGATCTAATGTGTCTCAGTCTATGATGCACATACATTCCTCGGATTCCAATGTATACCACAAATCTGATCGTTTGAGTATGTCTGATTGTCTAGCGTGCTAATCCTACAGGTGGAGAGCTTAATCATTCTTATCAGACTAAGCATCACTGTATTTCTCCAATTCTGTGATAACAGCTCACCTTGCCTATCTCTACATACAAAGAGAGTTTATACCAACGTAGCCATGTCTTGTTTAAAAAATAATTACTGACAAGATAATTAAAAAAAATTACCCAAACGTCCGCAATTATCATATTATTTGTTTCATTGCCTTATATTAAGGCTCCTGGTAATGTCATTAGTTTTGAGAAAATTCCCATGGAACTGTTTCCAAGTAACGACATATTGTAGTTCGGTTCTAACAAGCAACCGAAGCAGGGGCGTCGCTAGCGGGAGGGTAATAGGTGGTGTAACACCCCCAATTCTTCTAGAATTCGTCGGTAGATCCTCAGTTTGTCGCGTCAGTTCAGTCTGCGGTTCAGTTCAGTTCAGTTTTTTTATATTTTAAAATTCCTCAACATACAATATCTTATTACTCTGCATTACAATTAGTTACATACAATGCTAACACATTACATAAAAATACTTAATAACAATAAATAAAGATTACTAAGATGTTGTTGTAAGGGAATTTCTTTAGGAGGAGCTATCTCAGTAGATGAACTAATCGATGAGAGAGCACCCCCTTTGGAAGGGGGAGAGAGAGTCGTTGGGGTATATTTATGTATTTTATATTTTTCTTGAGCTTTCTTGAGCTTTATAAGTATTGTTTTTATATATTACATAAATATTTGAAATTTACTGTTTATCTGTCTGTCATAAAGTGCTCAATGCCGGATAAGCAAAGTTGTATACGCTATTTGGTGTATAGGACAGAGCGGTTCTAAGTTGCTACCCCGAGTTTCACGCTTTATACGATCATCAGGTAAAAGCACGGCGACCTATATAAGCAAAATTTTTATTCTTGCGATTCCATAACGTTCCATTGCATTATTGATTTTCTCAACAAACCAAACGAAACCATGACCTTCAGTAAAAAAATTGAATTTCTATTAAGAAAGTAAATAATCTGATCACAATAACCCCTTACTGACATCGGTGACAAGAGCTGGTGCTATCATTAGATCAAATGACGTCATAAGAGCAAGTAAGTGGATTTTCAGCCAGTCCAGTTTTCCTTTTAACGTCATGTATCTTTATATGTCTCTTTATATGGACTCGTGTATAAGGTATTTGGAATGGCCTTTTTCTTTTCAAACATAGGAACTACTTTTGAAATTTTTTAGATGGTTTCAGCGTTTAGATTTTATTTGTAAATTGTAAAAAATTCGTTATGATGGTGGAGGTAATTCAAAATTTGTGGACTAGATATTAACAATTTGTAGAAACTTTTAAATGGTTTTAAAATAGTTTCTGTAAGCCTAAAGCAGGGTCTAAATAATAACTATTTGTTAATTTGTAAGCCTAAAACCGTTAAGTTAGATTTTTTAAACTGCTTTAAAGGCAATCTGTCACGACGTTGATTGATTATAAGAACAAAGGGATTTTTTATTGTTTCCAGTCCCCTTTTAATTTATCGCATTGTAAAAAATATGGCAGAGCGCTGGAATCGTGTTTAGGCCATTGTTCCAGCTATTGTTCTCGTTAACCAATCCACAACGTTGCCTTTAAATTTATTAAAACTTTATAAACTGCTTAATCTGTCTGTTAGATTAACTGTTAAATAAACTGTTAAAAAGTAGACATAAGAAGCATCTGAGAGTTTCTTATAAAATGCCTTACAGAGTCCACTGTTGGGGAGACGCTTCAGTATTTGTTGGATGTTTTGGTGGCTTTCAAAATTTTGCGTCACATGCACATGCGCAATAAAAATCGATGGCGTTATTTTTGCAGCGCATAATGTATTCTATGGTAGAAGCATTTATGGCTGTTTTAAAAGTAACCCAGACTCGAATAAAAAGATAAATAAAATTTTGAAATCATGAGTAGGTTGTCATGAGAAGAGAGAGAATGAAACTCAGATTTATACGATGCACCTATAATATGCAATAGTTGATTACATGTTGCCAAGCGCCCAGAGGTGTAATTTTTGTCAAAATTTGGACCCATAATTCCGCACGTCTGAAAAAATTGTGAGACATCATTCTTCAAAAATGATGGAAACTATGCCCTTTATTCTGCAAGGCAAATTATATTTTTAAAACAAACGCAATCATCAAACAAATTTTGCACGTCCTTCATACATATCATTCTTTCATTTCTAACTGGTCATTCATTTTGTTAATGCTAAACTTTTCTCCTAATAATTTTGCAATGTTTTTCCAAAATAGCACCCCTAATTCTGCATGTTTTTTCAAACAGTGCCTAAAATTCTTCACACATTTCAAGAACTGATACCGATAAAAATTCTGCACTTTTCGGAAAATATGTACCCCTAAATGATGGCACGTCCCGTACCTGAGAAAATATCCAGCTCTGTCTATACGGCATCGAGTGCTTTACATCAGACCAGTAAGCAGTAATCCTCCATAAGACTATGATAAGATATTATTTCTTATCAAAAGTTGATCTACTTTTGCCTTTTGTCAGCTGCTATGGCAAGAGGTGGGAGTTCATCCGCACAAAAGATAAATTTTCTCAATTAGAATTGATCATGACTGTGACAAGGAAAAGTGTTTCAACCTAGTGGTAAAAACCGTTTCAGTTAATATAGAAGTTCATTTTAATTGTATTTCTGAGCATTCATGATTAAGTTTGATTTCACAACTTGTTAGGTGGTGTTCTTTAAATCATTAACTATGTTTCATTTGATTTCATAATTAGGCCCAAAGTCGTTTGACACTTGCTGCCAGTTGTTCGTCAAGTGTTTGAAACACAGTTTGTGCTGATTGTAAGAATTCTTTCTTTGACTCGTCTTGCTTTTATTAGTTGACACAGAACTGTTGCAAATTGTTCTGTGTCACTAATAAGCAATCGTCTGTGCTGTTTCTCGTCTGCTTAGATAGCTAGTGGCAATATGGACGGTATCCAGCCATCCTGTTGTCCAGTATGCTTAATTCCCACTAAAACTTCCCCTATGACACATTTGCATCCATTGCCAATTTTTCGAATTTTTTCGTCCAATGCGCGAGAGCAAAATTTCTTTACAAACAATAATACATTTTTTTGCTGCTCTTAAAAAAACCTCAAAGCTTTTAACTAGTTTCGGCCTTCTTTTCCGATTTTGTTAATCCAAGGCAGACATCCAAGCGAAAACCCCAGATCTAGTATATTTTATATTCGAAACTCATTAATCATGACATTGCTTCCAGCATTTCCAGGTTGTCAATTTACATTTTGTCACTACGCGCATCTGAAGATATCCGCTACTTGAAGTAATAGTGATTAGCATCCTTCCCCTTCATCTGATACAAAGGCATTTTTACTGTTTCCAGTTTAAATCTGACCGTTGAATCGGGAATTTGTGTCCTAAGTTAAGTTTGATCAAATAAAGAAATTCATGTTAATTAAGGTATCATAAAAATCTGCTCATGGGTTAAACAACTTTATTATTATGCGAGTATAGTATTTAAACGACCGGGCTTTTCGCCATCTTTTATAGATGCAAGTATCACGGGCATTGCTCCAGGAAGCAAGTGATACCATCAATCATCGCTCTCCAGAGACAACTCAGCAACACTAGAAATCTCGCGAGCACTTGTGAATGCAGCAATAAACCGAGGGGCAAATCACTCAAAGAAAATCTCGTACATCTTTAATGAAAATCCTATTGTTTTATCTGAAAATCCCCAGAAATCCTTTTGTTTTAGGTAAAATCTCGTACGCTATTCGCAAGAGTGACTTGCCCCTCGCAATAAACAATACGTCATCTCCCTCGTGTTATCCTTTGGCCTCTCTTCTACCACTTTAATGGGCATAGCTTTTCGCCCCTGGGCTCTACCCAATCTTTCGTGATGATGAAATGCTGAGCATGCCATTTTAACATTCCTTTAACCAAATATTCAATTGTCTTTGGTAAACCCAAGTACAATATTTGTCGAAGTTGAGCTATCTCCTTTCTCTCAAACAAAATAATTGATACCTTGTGATAGGGAGGCGTGACGTCATCCATAGTTGCCAACTCTAGCCCAACTCAAGTTGTTCTAGCAACGATAGTCAAAAGAGTTGTCACTAGTGGGGCTTTAGGAGGGCACACAGCCACCCATACCTGAAAAACACTGTTTTGTGGAGCAAATTTATGTTGAATTAGTATCCTCTCGAGGGGCAAGTATACAACAATGTAAGTAGACAGGGAATTTTTAACAACAATCCAGCAAAGTGAGCAACAACCTAACCTTTTGCTCTTTGCTCTTGATTTGGGTACTTTCAGCCTTGCTGAATATTTTAAGCCTTAGATACATTTTTGTGACACAATAGACCTCACGTGATCGATGACGTCCCTTTCCTAGGTCATTAAAATTTTTAATTCTCTCTTTTGAAAAATATCTCCAACCATCTTGTTTGGAATTGTAATAGAAGCAAAACGTTCTAAAGAATAAACTCTATCAGACAAGCAGATAGCGAGTTATTGCTATTTAAAGTTTGCATGACGTCATCAAAATGGCGGTTCTGCAGTTTTCAAGCACGTGGAGTTCAAAGGCTGATGGTCGTAAATTATGTAGCTTTACCTCGATTTTGAAGTTTTTTGAACTTCGTGTTATTCAGCAACTCAAGAATGTCGTTTGAGCTGATATATTTGCCCGTCTGGGAAACTAAGAATTGAACAAAAATGCAAGCAAAAGGAAAACTTTCTAGTAAAAATTTGTCTTCAAAAAGGCTATAGTGAAGAGGAGCTTTCATCAGCAATGAAAGACAGTCAATTCTTCAGCATTGTCGCTCGGCAATGTACTCCAACTTTTACAGCAGCTAGAGAGCGCAATAGAAAAT